CAATTGTCCTTAGTTGCTTATGTTCATTTTTTACTTTTTGTGAAAGTACTGCCAGGTCCCTCTATTATAGGATATTATTAATTTAGTTCATGTACTATCAAATGGATCAATTTAGTCCTGTTGTAGAGATTGATTGGATCTGGTCTCTATATTGATTAAATGAACCAATTTAGTTCGTGGGTTGGGAGAGTCGCCCTCACCTCTGCAGTACTCGATCTAGATTAGTCGGTCAATAGTGATTAATTCAAAAAAATAAAGAAAAAATTAATCTCATAACCATAAACAGACTATAAAAGTTAATCGTTAGAAGGAGATCGAACATAAATATATTACTCTGTTTCAAGAGAGATTTCTCCACCATTATATTCTTATTATGATCCTCAAATAGAGGCTATAATCGTAGGTGATCCAGCAAAGCCAGATTTTTGTTTGTTCGTTTCTTAAAAAATTGTTCATTCTTTCTCAGATTTAGAAACAAGCAGTTCTTCCAAAATAGGTTGGTTATATCATTAGAAAAAACGTAAGAAAACACAATTTCAAACATAAATAAACTGAATCGTTTGTTCCCACTAACAATCCCATACAATGCAAGTTAACTGCATGGAGGAGCCGGTGAAGTGCTCGAGGACTGCTCAAGCAAGCACTGGTTGGTGAACCAGTAATGGAGAACGAGTATTATCTATCCCTCTACAAGTTAGAGTAGCTCATTAATCTATTAAACCAAAGTAGTCAAAGTAGATGTCATATACTTGCCATTGCTTTCTGGTTTAACGGGAACGAAGTCTATCGTGGAGGACTGGCCAGCAATAGACATGGAAACTTCTGTGCTTGTTAAAGCTTCCGTGAGTGAAATGGACACTTACGACACAGTACCCGTGTATGTCTACATGCGGTGGTTTTTGCGACAAACTTGGGAGGAGACTCCCAAACCGTCATGAAGAAGTTCAAATACTCCCGAGAAAGACAGATCGATAGTTAGCATGCTCGGGAGAATAATCAAACGGCTAATGTTCTTACGAAAGAGGGACAAGCGTACTTATCTTATTTGTTTTGGGTGGAAGAAGCTCCGTCGATTGTTGAAAGAGAAGCAGAGAAGGACCGATAATGGATTCCGATAGGCCGCTAGTTCGAGTTACAGCAATCAGAGAAGAATTTGACCTATAGACCTCCGATCATCCCAAAGTTGCAGCAGATTCCTCAGTCGTATGTAAGATCTCAAAGCAGTGCCTGAAAGAGAGAAGATATCTAATATGAAGATTTGATTCTGATGATTTTGCTTGGGCGATATGAGCGAGGGAAGAGTCTTTTCCTCTTTCCTGTTCTTTTTTACTTTATGTTTCCAATTTCTGTTCTAGTTTTCCTAGCATTTGCTTTAATGGTCTGTCGATTACTTTAAATAACAATGCATATTATCTTTTAAATTCTGAATCCGAATCAGTCCATCACCTACACACTGCGATCAATTTGTTTCCCCCTAGAATTAAGCTTCTTCGTTCCTGGAAACGCGTAGTCAACTTACAATGAGCGGAAATTGGAAAATCATGGAAAATACGGGGGGAAAGCATTGGAAATAGCCAAACAATGCGATCTAAAAGGCAAGAACATCGAAATCATTGCCACACAATCTTACAAGTGCTTCATGTAGGTTCCTCGTCGAAAGCAGCTCTGCATTCAATCACACACCAATCACCGTCAAACTCACAATTTCCCCGGCCAACACCTAGTAATAATATTCTTTGACATCCCTTTCAATAACACGTACATTATCTTGATTTTGGAGTTTTTGGAATTCCGATTAATACATGGTGGAAACTACCGGTTCTTAGATAAGGCTGGCAATGGCATATTCCTGATTCTAAACAAAGCTTTGAATTCTTTTATGTTGTTCTGAATGTTTCTTTCACCTTCCTTGATCCGAAAGGAAACCATTTCAACATGTTCTTCTATAGAAAGCGACGCCATGCTTAATCTTCACATATGTTTCATTTGATTCTTTTTTTTTTAATTTGTATTCATCATGAACATGATTATTGACATATACCCTCTTTTGATAGGGCCTCCTGGTCTCAGACCAAAATGGAGCAATTCCGCCAGATAGAAGAGGCTTTAGGAAGCTTGAAGGCATTAATGGTTTTTAGTGACAACATCCAAATCAACCAGAGGCAATGTGTTTTGCTGCTCGATATGCTTGATTCTGCGTACAAAATGATATCCGAAGAAATGAGAGAGAACCTGAAATTTGAAGAAAGGAGCATGAAATGGAAAGTTCTTGAAATGCCATTGAAGGAGCTCCACAGGATTTTCAAAGAAGGGGAAACCTACATCTAGGAATGCTTGGAAACCAAAAACTGGTGGGTTAAAGCCATATCTCTCTATCAGAACTCGGACTGCGTCGAGTTACATATCCATAACTTGCTTTCCTGCATTCCAATTGTTATTGAAGCAATCGAATCTGTGGCCGAACTGTCCGGTTGGGAACAAGATGAAATGCAAAAGAAGAAACGAGTGTACTCAAACAAGTACCATAAAGAATGGATCGATTCTCAACTTTTCCAATGGAAATTTGCAAAGCAGCACCTTGTTACTCAAGATTTTTGCAATAGGATCGACAGTGTTTGGAAAGAAGATAGGTGGATCCTTCGCAACAAAATCCTGGAAAAGGAAAACTTGGGGTTGAGAAAGCAGGAGAGAAATCTTGCAGATTTGCTTTTGAGAAACTTAGATAGTTCAGAGCTGTTGAAGGAGAAGCTTTTACCGAGTTCGATCCTGCTAGGATCGAAGGACTATCAGGTTAGACGGCGGCTTGGAAATGGGAATCAATACAAGGAGGTGTACTGGTTAGGTGAAAGCTTTGTTATGATACCCATATTTGCAGATGTAGAAGCAGTAGCTTCTGATATTTCTTCATTATTCTCTCTTTCCCACCCAAAATACTGCATTTCCTTTGTGGATTCACCGATGATGGAAAGAAGGAATGTCTTTAGCCCATGGAACTAAATAAAAGCCTCTGCGACTGCCTAAAAGACAATTGCAACCCGAAAAGGCGAACATCGTTTTGTCTTCCTGTTGCTGTTGATCTAATGCTTCAGATTGCTAGGGGAATGGAGTATCTACACTAAAATAAAATCTACCATGGTGATTTAAATCCTTTTAGTATACATGTTAAGTTGAGAGGAAATTCTCCGGAAGGGCAAACGCAGGCAAAAATTTCGGGATTTGGTTTGTCTTCCATACCACAAAGAGCACAGACAAGAACCAGAATGAACAGCAGTTGTTCATTTGGCATGCACCAGAGGTTCTAGAGGAGCAAGAACAACCAGGAAGTAAAAGGAATTTCAATTTAAAGTTCACTGAAAAAGCAGATGTGCATAGCTTCGGAATGATCTGCTTTCATCTTCTAACTGGAAAAGTCCCATTTGAAGATGGCCATCTTCAAGGGGACAAAATGGGCCGAAACATAAGGGTAGGTGAGAGACCATTGTTTCCTTACAAGCCACCGAAACCTATAACAAACCTGATCAAGAAATGTTGGCATGCTGATCAGGCTCAAAGGCCTAGCTTCCCATCTGTGTGCAGAATTCTTCGGTATTTAAAGCGGTCACTTCTTATGAACCCTGATCATAATTACCAATCGGAGTTGCCACTTCTGCTGGTGGATTACCATGAGACTGATTCAAGGCTTCAACGGATGTTCCCTGTGTGGGAAGCTTCCAAGACAGTCTCGGCATCACAAATCCCATTTCAGATGTTTATCTATAGAGTATTGGAAAATGAAAAAATAGGATCTAGTCACAAAGACACTTCAGAATCAGGAAGTGAAAGAAATGAATTCAGTGGCAACGAAAATGTCACTACCGATGAGCCTTACTTGTCAGCAACTGAGAGGTCCATGCCTTCGCCTGAACCACTGCGAAGGATACGTACTACAGTGAAGAAATCTCCAGACATTAAAGCAAAACATTCAGGTATTGACCACACTCTTGAACTATATTTTCCATGCTTTTCGTCTTGAAACAACAAGGCACAACACCAAATTATTGTTTCATGTCAAGATTTAAACACTGCAATTGATGCTGACAACAGGCTTCTTCTTTTCTAGTGACACCTAAAGGAAGATTATTAAGACCTCCAACGATTCATCGTGCCCACAGTTTCATACCAAATTCAGAAAACAATCTCTTAGTGAGCCCCAGATACAGAAAGAGTTCAGAAAACCAGCTCTTAGTGAGTCCCAGACACAGAGAGTCCAGGAAGCCAGCACTTAACAAGACCCAGAATACGGAGAACGAAATCCTGTCATGTCTCAGATTCCGAGCACATCACCTAGCCTTTTCAACAGGTTGATTCCTTAGACTCAACGACAAAGTTTGATCTAGTTTACAGTGATGAAATTCTTTCCCAGATCAATAATTACAAAAGTCCAACTCCGACTTAAGAAACAAAGTGACAAAGATAGGATTCAAACAGCAGAAAATAATCTGAACAAGTGTTCAGAGCTTGTCGAATTTTCAAAGCTTAAGGGAAGAAGAACACGTAAGCTTCGACTGGCTAACACCTTACTCCTGTAAATTTAGCATGTGTGCTGAACTGTCATGGTCTCTGATATATGAAAGATGAAATATTTTTCGCTACAACTTTAGCAGAAACAATCCATTAATGTTCAACAAAAAGCATACAAATTCTTTGAGCCAGTTCAACAAGAAGTTCAGTTTGGTTTTGTTTTGTACCTTTAATCATATAATATTTGTACTCAATTTATCAATATATGGATGGTTATTCTTGTTTCCCTGCAAGCAGAGGATTGATCTTTCCATAAAATTCTAATGGTGCTATTTTTTTCCTTTTCAACATTCTAGGGTGATTACAAAGTAGTATATGTTTTAGAATTTTCTTAACCTATTAACAACCATTGACAACGCACACACCTGCAGACCAGCTGCTTGATCCCGGATCCTGATGAAAATACTACAGACAGCAAATAGAAACATATATAAAAGTTAAATCTCAAGGGATTTCCAATTCAAAATGGTGGGAAAATCTACAGAATACATCTCAATCAGAAAGGCTAGTTTTATATTTGTTGGCAACAGCGAGAAACTTCATTGAATTAATCATAAAGGAACAATTATCTACAAATCATGAAGCAAAATACTTGTGGAAATACCTTGCTGTAAAACTTACAGCTTCATACCTCTTTAATTCTTAAGAAGCACTCGCATCTCGACTGCTTGAATATTTCTAAAACACGAAATTCTCGGCTGCTAGGTTCTTTTTCAATATATACATGCATGCTACGTTCCTCCCCTAATACCATGTCTATCAGTAATGTTTTTGCTCATGAACAACGTTTTCGGAGCCACTCCTCGTCAATGTTGCCATTAATTGTTCACAAGTAGTAGTCGAGATAAATCTGCAGTTCATCTTCGTATTTAACCTACGATTCTGAGGAGTTGGCGCCTGAATTTGGAACAGTCATGCGTAAAGCTGCCACACAACAATGACCATAGTAGTTTTAGTAGGGAACTGGAGACTAATATCCTTGTGTGCACAGGCACACTCGATTGAAGGCAGGCACGAAGTTAGTGTACGAGTTTTGGCTCTCAGTTTTACCCTTCGGCCTTTGCAATCTGCTATCATTGGTTTCTCAAAGTGAATATTAATCTGTCTTTAGGATGGGCGAGATAGTTACAGTTTAGAGCAGAACTAATTTGGGGAAGGCTTTCATCACACTAGTTTCAGTAATTCTATACTTCCAGTTGAGTTGGCAGCAACAAGCATGTTCGACTTTTGTCTCCAACAGACACTTGAAACAAACTGTCCATTTTTGTCGGCGTTCTGATGCTCAGAAATAGGATCAACAGACCCAAACTTATAGGAAGTGATTGGCATTGGCAGAGATCTATAGTAACAATAAACCTTCAAATGTACAACAGAGGAAAAAAAACGATCTGGATCAGTCTGCATGTAAGGCATGTGTATTGTCATTATAAAAAACAAAAAGAAATAAGAAAATCCAGACCAGAGCAACAGATTTCAGCACTCCATTTGTAATTGAACCGTAATTACCTCATTTGTTTCTGAACCGCATGCTATATATCCATCCAAGACGGATAAACCCACAAAGTTCTGACCAAGCAGAAAACAAAGGGTTAGCACTTAAAAAGTATGGCAGATGCTCAATTTTTAATAGATATAGAAAAAAGTAAAACCTTCTCATTTTTATGGCCAGTAAAGGTTAAGTCACAAGTAGTGGAGGGCGATCCGTCTGAGCAAGTTTTGTTGAGATCCCATGACTTCAGAGTGTTGTCAGTGGATGCAGAGAGAAGGGTATTGAAATCCAAGAATTTCACATAGCTAACAGCTTTTTCATGGGAAGCCAATGTGCACAAGGGAATTCTAGCATGCCGGAGATCATAGCAATATACTTTGTAATCAGCAGATCCAAATGCTAACAGATGAGGAGAGAAACTAGAGAACTGAACACAGCAGACATTTGCATGGCTCCATATGGTTCCGAGTGAACTTTTCTGCAATGATTTCATTCACAATTTTCTTTAGACTAACGCTCCGAACCAAAATATGCATGCTGGTGATTCACGGGTGTATCTGATTTGCAAAAAAAAAAACCAAAACTTTTACATGCTACATTATGAGGCGGGAAAGCATACCTCATTAATGCTCCAAATCTTCACAGAACAGTCATCACTTCCACTGACAAACTTTGTTGGGTCAGCTTGAGAAAAGTCGACAGACCATGCCCTCTTTTGGTGTTCATTGTATCGACAGAGTCCTTGACCAGTTCCCGCATCCCATGTCTGTACCCAAAAGACACCATTTTATCAATTAAATATAAGTTAACAGCCTCACTTCAATAATGAAAATGCCATTAAACAACATAAAATAGAAGGCAAACTAAACATTTAGACAGAAGTTCGATAGTTGCAGTTACTCTTTGTTGCAATAGAACAAACTATACTTCAGAATCTAGGCAAATAATTCCCAGAATTTGAAGTGGTACAGAATTTAATAAAATGTACAAAGGATAGTTATGATCTTGATCATGAAAAAGAATTTACCACTCTACTGGAATAGTACCAAAACAGTGATGGATCATCAATGTCTAACAAAATCATCACTACAGATGATTTTGGCAGGACAAAACCTTAGTGCCTTATTTGAGCAACATTCACTTCAAGGAATCTTTCAATTAGAACGTGTATTTACCTGGACGACGCCATCATAATCAGTTGAAGCCAAATAATTCTTTATGTAGTTGTTCCAGCACACACAGCTAATCTTTGACTTGTTTGACATCTCAACCACAGGATAGTGGATGTCAATAGAGTCTTTCATAAATGCATCAAACTCGAAAATCTTGATTCTCTTCGATATGCCAGCAGTTGCAATATAATCCTCATTTCGGTCGAAACTAAGAGTGCATATCACATTTGCAGAGTTTATAAGGTCTCTATTTCTTATTGTTCCACAGACTTCAAACTTGTTATAGCAAGCAAACTTGCACAAACCATCAAAAACATCCCAAGGGGATCAACAGATTTCTGATTCATTAGTTGCTTGCCATTCTCACTGTGAAACTTGGACAACCTGTCTCTATTCTTCAGCAAGTCTTTATCAGAGTCAGCTGAAGCAGCAGTTTCAGAAGAGTGGATTTTGGATCTCATGGAGAAGTAGACATGCTCGAGTTTCCGGATATCTTTTGACAACCATCGATCATTGGCATCGGACTTCAAATTTGATATATCATTAGGAACGGAGGTTCCAGGATCTTCAAAATGCGTGCACTTTTCTCCTGCATCAGGAAATTCATTTTGTATCTGAGGGGAAACTGAGGATGTCCTTAACGATTGCCTTCTCATAGCCTCCTTGATATCTTCTTCTAAGAACCTAATCTCTTCCATCAATTTGGAGGCATGCTTCTGCTTTTGTTCTTCTAGTCTAGTTAGAAAATGAAGTAATATCTCTGATTCAGCCAAATCACTATCAGAAGATTTTGATACATCGTTCCCACGAAACCGTTCTTGGGATCCACAAAATAAATCAGACTCCAGGATTTCCCTGTTTTATACAGAATTTAATTGTACATAAATACCAAAACAAGTAGAAACTACATTAAATCTTCATTAATTGCAGTAGACAATATAACCTACATACCAACAAAAATGAAGTACAATACAAGCACTACAATTTGTAATAACATCACTATATTTAGGAAGCCAGGAAATGACAGTAAAAACAATTATTCATGTGCAAGCTAGAAATGGAGAGACCAAATTAGTGAGTTTTACAACCCATTGTAACTTCTGCCTGAATTCTTTTTCTTGCATTAGAGTATTTATATGATTCTTAATATATCTAATACAAAATGACAGATTAGAGTAAACAAAATGCTATGGAATTAGTAGTTATTGTAGATAATGAATTATGATAATAGATTCATTGATACCTAGTTGTTGGACGAGACAGGGGTTCAGGATGAAGTAGCCAAAGACAAAAGGCAGCTTCCTTTGGACTTTCTGAAAGGAAATTTGGTGGAAGAATCCGCTGACTCAAGTCCGACATCATTGCAGAATGCTGCTCCATTGACTCAAAACGACATAGAAGCTGATAGAAACGGACCACATTAATTGAAATAATACACTTCCTATCAACTCTATGATTCAAATTATAGGAACTGAGACATAATCAAACCAGATGTTTAATAGCAAACCAGATTATTCTAACAGGATGTTTAATGGTAAACACTTTCAGACTTTCAGGCACATTTTAGATTATTATGATTCAAGTACTGGAGCCTATCTCAAAGTTAGTATCAGCACTATGAAACATTAATCTACTTCAACATACTCTATATGAACAGCGATAAATGTCGAGATTCATTTGATTAGCAGTTTTAAGATTACTCTCTCGTGACTAGACAAAGACACAATAAGGGCACCAGATTCCGGGGAAGAATGTCTCAAATGTAGTGAGAGAATACAGTCTATATTGTCCCGAATTTTTGTGAATTTGCAATTTTCCTTTCCCCCTTTCCCCTAATAGGCATAAACTCTAGTAACAAACTAAGTGCCCTTTTTATTGGTTCAATTCCAATCATCAATTACTCGAACTAATATAAGCCATTATAACATTATATATCTAACTCCTGAACTAATATAAAACTCATATGTGTAAGGATTCTGTCTTTCTAGACCAAGAGGACTAGACTTTTTCACATACATTAATGTCGTCTTATATGATTTCATTCTGACTAAAATCTCAGATCAGTTCAGTGTGAAATCTATGGTCCTGAGACTCAAAAAAAGGACTTACAGTCTTATTTTGGTTGGCCTAATAGCAAATACTGGGTTAAAATACATCACATTCTATGCATAGAAAATCAAAAGAAAGGAATTCCAAAGTACTAAAAAATATGAAATACTAAGAGAACTCCTCACCTCAAAAAGAAAAACCCCAAGGCTATATATATTTGATGAAAATGTGAGGCTTCTTCCACTGAGCTTCCCTGGGCAAGCATACCACCTCTCTTCCACTTCTATATCTGCAGAAGGAGACTGCGCAGCAGATGTATCGTAATAGAAAAATGGATGCTTGTTGACAAAAGGCTTAGAATGCTGCTTAATAGATGTATGAAAACCAACAATATTCCGCGTATCTGCCCTGGATCCATGAGGAGAGGTGAATTCCGTTTTGTGTCCAGGAGGTTTCATGTTCTCATCATGCATTAGCTGCTTTGCACCTTGACTACAATTGGAAGCATTCATACCTTGTTCCAAGGACCTTTTCCTCTTCAAATCATTATGTACAGCTGACACTAGTTCGTTCTTGACAGACCGTCCGGTATAGATAACCTTATTTGATGACAATAAGGAGAAACAGGATGGCCGTAAATCTTGCAAGACAACCCCTTGCGAATGTGCCGAATCCACCAACTCCACAATCTGCCTGAATATAATCAGGCTTTCAACTTTATCTTCTCTTCGACTCCCTGGTTTTAGCCATTCTCTCAAACTAATCCCATTTGAGCTAGGCTCAGTAGCAGAACTATCGATCCCCGGTAAACAAGGCTGGTCATGATGTTCTCTTCTGCTAATTCCCTTCCCTTTTATACCCTTCTTCACAAAGAACTGAGAAAAGCTAGGCCTAGATGACGTTTTCAATCGAGTAGCCGCAGCTGACAATGTATTGCTTGAGATAACCAAGTTGTCCTCGGTAGCCTTCGAATGCAAAGCAACTCCCCCTTGTGTTTGATCAATATCCTTGATCTTATGGTTCTCGTAAGACATTCTTGCAAGCTGCTCTTTCGCTCTCAACAACATATGGCTTGCTTTTTCATCTAAAACAACGTGCTCCGACCTACTTTCGATATGATACATTCGTTCCCGCTGAGCCTTCCGTAAGCTGTTCGAGCTCTTTGCTAAACTTAAGCTTGAGTTCTTATAGTTTTCCAAAGTCGATTCTTCCACTATCATGCCGGTCTCCGTCTCGGCCTCGTTCATGGAAGAAGTGGTGGGACATGGAGGTGCAAAGCGACTCAAACCATTCACCGGCGATTCCGTCAAAAGACGATCTTCTGATTTCAAGGGAAAACTGAAATCTTTTCTCTTATATTCAACAGTCTCCGGCAATTCATTAGCTGCCATTTCTTGCCCATCTCGTTCCATACTATCCAGTTCCAAATAAAACCCAATCCAAACAATTTCTTTTTAAACTCTATAGCACATCAGCAGAAGAACTACAGACATCAAAATCAAAAGCTAGAAATTCATTCTATTTACACATAAAATCAAAAGTAAACAAATTAACCAAACAAACAAAGCATTCAATTTAACCAACGGAAATTGGGTGTTCAAGAGAATTAAAATTAACCACCTTTCTCACATGAAAATCTCTTCTCAAACAATCAAATTCGAACAGAACGCCGAGAAATCGAAAACGATCGTGTTCAAGCCAAAAAGAAGAGATACAAATGAAGAATTAACTTACACATCAAGGAGCAAGGACAGCAACCTTTAGCAGCGAACAGTTAACAGTTACTCTCAAATCGAAGCAAAAAAAAGAAGAAAGAAAAGGAAGAAGCAGCTATCAAAACTTGCCCGAAATGGAAAGAAAATACAATAAAAATAATACTTTGGAGAAGTAAAAGAATAATTAGTAATATCTTCTCAGTAATTAGACAAATCAAACAGAGTCAGAAACAGAACAACGTCTTTTCGGTGTCTCCTAGATATTCTTTTTCCCCCATTTTTAAGTTAATTAATTTACTTCAATTTCGTTTGGTCCACGAAATTTCTATAATTAAAATTAATGAGTGATCCGGTATCCGAAAAATTAAAGGCAAATGGATTGCTTGAACAACTTTGCTTAGCTCAGAGCCGTCTCAAATGTGAGGAGCAAATTGCAGCCACGATCTTTCCCTGCAAAAAATCTTTTGGTCAAAAAGAATATATATAATAATTCAAGAAAATAAAAAAAATACTGGGAATCTCTTTTAACGTAAATGCCATTGATTTCTTCATTATTACCGAGTCTGCCATCCGAGGCCCAACAGTTCCTCCTCCATTGTCGGCACTGTTAAAATTCTGGAATGGAAGAGGATGTTGACGGAGGGGGAGTACGAGACACGTGGCGAACATGGAGGCAATTTGAAACACGTCCGAACGAGGGTGTATCCGGCCAGTTCTGTGGACAGCCTCACGGGGCGTTTGGATATTTTGACGCAAACAGTGGCGGGGGTGATTCTGTAATTTTGTCTTAATCAAATGGCGTGGTTTCATTTGCAACTTGCGAGATGTGCTGTCGGTCAATAGAGGAACGAGTAGTTCTCAACGAACCACGTAGATTTGTAGGCCCTTCTCTGGCGGCTGGCACGTGGGGAAAAACAATTGGATTATAGGTTGGGCCTAAAGATTTTAGGTATCTATGGGCCAATTCCAAAACCATTATGATGAGATTTTACTTTAAGAAATAACAACTCTAGTAAAAATCATTTATTATTTGTAAAATTTAATTTTGAATGTAATATTTAAATATTTTGTTTTTATATATATTTTTATATAAATAATTTAAGGTTAGTATAATGTAGTATTTTTTCAAAAAATTTCTTAGTCATTGACAACGTAAACACACCTTGCAAACACAACAGTTAGAACCTAATACTTCTAAAGAGAATAACATTTCTTTCTACCACTGAGAAATAGGGTTGCAAACAAAACGAACGTTTAGTGAATCATTTGTGAACTGTTTGATAATTCATTCGTTTATATTTATTTATGTTCGGTAATCCGTTCATTTATATTCGTCCAATTAAATTTATATTTATATTCGCTTATGTTCGTTTATTTATATATATTTTTTAAATGATTGATTTAAAAGAAATTTATATTTATGTTCGTTCGATTATGTATTTTTGCGTTTGTTTATCATTTTAAAGAAATGACATAAATGCACACGAACAAGAAATTATGCTCCTTTAATTGTTTATGTTAGTTCGTTTGTTCAGTTAAAATTAACCGAACGAATATGAATATACCCTCATAGATTTTTGTCGATTCATTTATCGGCCTACTGAAATCGCTTGATGTTTTATACATTAAAACTTATAAAATTATTATTGATATATTTTTAAGGCTTAATACAAAAATAAGTGCTTAAACAATATCTCGAAAAACGTTTTGGTGCCTAAATAATTTTTTGCTAAAAATAGATGTCTAGCATTTTCTCAGTTACATTTTTAGGTGCACATCGTTATATTTTTTTATTTTTTTTATTTTTTAATAATAAAATATTTAAAAAAAACTTAATTTATTTATTAAAAACCCCAAACTTTTAATGAAATTATAAAAAAAACTAAAATATCTCATTTCAACCTCCATTACCAACTGTCGCCAGTCATTTTCGGCCACCATCGTCGCCGAACACTTTACGCTAAAAGATCAACGGGGGTTTGATCAGGAGTAGACGCCATTGCCGATGAAGGTGACGGTAACGATCACGGATGACCGACTGACGACCATGGAAAGGGAAAAGGAAAAAAAAAGGGGGGGAAAGGGAGGGGAGACGTGGGCGACTGTTTAGTTTTTTTATATATAATAACAAATATTTTTTTTAAAAATTAAATAAATTCTCAAAATTACCAAAACGTGACACATGTCACTTAACGGCCAAATTTAATGATCGTTACGATTCAGACACCTAAAAATCTCCAAAACGTTATCAAATGTTTTTAGTAAAAATTTCTTTAGTCACATACGTTTTTCGAGATAAAATTTAATCATTTTTGCATTAAGCCTATTTTTAATTATTAATAATCTACCGTGGATGTTAGTTTAAAAAAATGATATTTCATTAAAGATTCCGTGAGATTGACCGTTGGCTTTGGGAGTATTGAGACGGGACCCGTTGCTTTTATTGGGCGTGGGT